AGGAGAGCAGAGTTATGAAGCCAATTCATAGATTCATAGAGACTGTAATTACATACGCAGAAAAAAATGTATTTGGGCAGAAAAAGGCCTTAAAAGTTCAATCACGGACAATAAAAAAAATTCACATCAAGAAATGATGAGGTGGGCGGAGGGGTGGCTCTGTGGATCTGGATCTGCGCCTGTGGCTGGAAGGTTGCCGGTTCAAATCCCACGGCCAGCAGAGGAATCCTACTCCCTTGGGCCCCTGAGCAGCGTGCAGACCCCTCTGTATTGCTCTGCTCTGGCTCTAACACGCGACAGCGCTGTGTCTGCGTGCAGCAGCACGTCTCGGCTCCCGCGGTGTTGAAACAGGCCCTCCTGACACCGCGACAGCAGCAGGCGCAGAACAGAGCGAGGTGGTTATTACCCTGCGGCCGGTGCCCTTGTGTACCACTGGCACCCTCTCCTCGCCGGTCAGCGAGTTCACGTCCAGCTTGCTGGGGTCCTTGCAGCGGTGGCGCCTCTGTTTGGGCCGCTCGGCGAAGCCATGCAGGATCCCCACGCTCTGGGCCTGGGGGGGGGCGGGGAGAGACCGGGTGAGGGCGTGGCTACAGGCTGGGCGTGGCCACGCCCCCCACCCCCTGTCCAGGGCACAGCGGGGAAACAGAGCCGAGCCAGAGGAGGGCAAGTGTACCGGGTCCTGCACAGCAGGGTCCGGGGACACTCACAGGGGAGAAGCCAGGCATCTCCATGGTGTAGTTCGGGTTCTGGCGGAGCCACTCCAGCAGGCTCTTGTTTGCCGCCTCTCGGTCCAGGAGCAGGCTGTCGGGCTGCGAGGGCGCCGGCGACGGGTGGTCAGTCGGAGCACAGCTGGACACCGCCGACGGCTTTGTGCCTTCTTGGCTGCTCTGTGAACAAGAGGCGACAGCGAGGTGAAAAGATCTGCTTCTGCACAGACAGCATCCCTGTGATGGCCTGCTCTTCAGAGGGAATGTGGGCGTCATGCCCACTGAAAGGGCCCCCCGCCCCTCGCCCCCCGCCCATGCTGCATTACCTGCTCCGGGGTCTGCAGGCTCCTGCTCTTGGCAAACCTCATGTCCAGCCCCTCCACGTTCTTCCTGCGGCCCCTCCTCCTGCGCATCACTGCGTCGTCGCGCCGCAGGCTCCCGTTGATGATCTGGCCTGTGACGGGGTGGATGAGGCCGGCCTG